AAAACGACGTAAGTCGAATTTACCTGTCTCCGAATCTACTTATCACTAGGAAAGCATTTTAAATAATATATGGTTAATAAAAATCTATTTTAAGCTTACAAACAAATAAATTTTAGTTTTTAATATAGTACAAAAAAAGTAATCTAAATTTACAAATGCATGTACTGTAAATACAGTACATACTTGTAAATGTATATATTTTAATATGATTTTATGTGCTTTAAATGCTTTTCTAGTGATATTACGACTTCAACATTTGTGGCAAACGGATGTAAAGTCGAATAAAATGACTTAAACTTGATTTTTATTTTTCCATACACTTTTTTGACAAACGACGTATAATTAGGAACGACATAAGTCGAAGTATACCTGTATATAATACAAAATACCATCCAATAGAGATTTCAATACCATTCCAATGCAGCTCTCTCATTTTTAATAGGCAATATATAATTAACATTTTGACAAGGTTTGGCCAAACACTGATAAATATCATGCAACAAATCTTTACTAGGAAGAACTTCTGTTTGTAATTTTTTAAAAATATATTCTTGCACTGAAAATGTCTTTTTAATGACAACAAGCAGTACTAATAATAAATAAAACAAAGTTAAACATCAAATTAGCACTTAAAAATATTTATTTTTTTACACTCACCATATTCTATTATTATTTAACAAAAGACATTTCAATCGGCGTAAAAATGGGAAGCCATCTAATTTTCTAATGTCATTATCTGATAAATCAATTGTATCAAACTGATCCTACAAGATAAAATATAAATCAGAGTTAAAAATTTGATTAAGATTAACAAAATAACCAAGTAATTCATACATAAAACTATCTTAAAATAATTTTTAAAATATAAAATTTCTGCAACCAAATTCTTAGGTGTTTGAAATTTTTCTGACAGAAAATGTAGTTTGTAACTAAAATTAGAATTTGTAAAACCAGGAACATTCAAAATAGAATGACAAAACAAAATCTTCCATTTCTGTTTGTTTGTATATCTGATAAAAAAGAAAAAAACTGAGAAACTACATTATTGACTAACAAAATTTTGATAGAATCATCTGGGGATTTACATGTAAAGGAATTCAGTTAGTTTGAGATAGAGCTACTTTGAAGTTCAAAGTGGAAATTCTATCCAAACTGTGTTATGCATATGTTAACTCGTTTTTTTCAAAGTGCCTCCATTCTATAAGAGAACAATAGACCAAGAACAACTCTAATGTGGTCAATATGGCTTTGCTTTTACAATAACACATTTTCGAATGCACCTTACCCATTGACTACCCTTTCTTTCTCTTATCTCATAAAGTTCAGCTGGGTTTCAACATTGGGCTACAAGTAATAGATTGAGAGATTTGTAGAGCTATAGCCTACTACATTTGGACTACTTTAAAATTAAGTTGGGCTATATTTTGAGGAATTCTGCATTTTATAAAACCTATCTGATAACCTGTGAGGTTCTCATCAGAGAAGTGCTGTTACCTGCAGTTTATTTATATTATTATTATTCATAATTATTAATTAACAAAAATAGCACTCTGTATATGTAGCCAAATATGGCTACATATACAGAATGCTGAATAAATTATATCAGTTACATGGCAATTGGCATATTGTACAGATATATGTATGTAAATCTCAAATAACTCAAAACTTGATAATTTGAAGTTGTGTCTAAGTTTTATCCTTTGAATTTCAAACAAATGAGGATTTCCTATATTGTATATTATTTCTGATTTTAAGCTTTTAAAAAATAATTCCATAATTCTTGTAGTAATATTCTTAATCGTAATTAATGAGTTTACTTTTATTAAATATGTAAATCTTCCTGTATAAACAAGAAAATGAAATTAACAGTAATACACAACATAATATGGAAACTAATGAAAATTTAGGTCTTAGTGAATGATGTATGCTAACAGTTATGCTGTGTCATTTACTGAATGATGATAAGTTAGTATAAATAAGTGGTGTTGATGTCATTTATAATTGTCAAATTGCCTGCAAAATTATTGAAGCAGCAACATTAATACATTTAACATTATGTATTAATATTTGTAAATTTGAAAAGAAAAAAAATGAATCATATATCACAAATTATTTCTAAAATATGTATTCAGTTAGAACTATACATAAATTTAAGTTGCAGTTATATGATCAAAAAGTTTATTACATAATAAAGCAGAGAACAAAAAACAAATTAAAATGAATAAATGTCACAATTAATAATTACATCATTGTACAGTAGAATCTCATACAATGCGGGGGGATTCGTTATGCATTATAGGAAATTGCATTATCGAAACCTGCATTATCACACCATTTATGAAAGTTTAAACCTTGGCCTATAAGTTGAAAAAAAAAAAAAATGTATACCTCTGATCAACAAAATTTGAGGGGATCGCTTGCTTTATTTGCACGTTATACAAGACTACTGTATATCATTGAAAGATTTTTTTTATTGACTACATAAAAATTTTTTTTTCCAAGCAGAAATACACTTTACATGGATTCTGAATTAATTTCAGTGAAATCAAAGAAAATACTTCAACATTTTCTATTTCTATTTGCATTTTGCACATTGTTTTATGAATGTTAGATTTCTGGTCTGACTTGTATGTTGTGAATGTAATAATTATGTTCACAACACTATGACAGTAACTATTACCTTCATTACTGTAATAAAGAGAAAAAAGTTCCTATATGCTTAACATATAAAATAGCAAAATAAATATACAGTGGTACCTCAGGTTACGAACGCCCCAGCATACGAAATTTTCAGGATACGACATGAAATTCGAACATATTTTTGCTCCACGATACGAACAAAAACTCACCATACGACGTTACATTAGTTCGCATTTTTCATTTGTTTTTCTTACTACAGTTATTTTTTTNGCTCATGGCCACACGTGGAGTTTTCTGGGTTTCCTTCGCGTGAGTAACATTTAAATTGAAACCAGCTTTACATAAACGTCTTTTCAGGATGCATTCTCTTCGGCAGATAGCTCATGTGTCGCGTTGCCGTAATCAAATAAACCAAACTAATTCTAACGAACGATAAGTAATGGCTCGTTAGAATTGGTTTGGTTTATTTGGTTTGCAACTTTTCGTCACAATGGTCTTAATTCTTTTAGTGGTCGTATTGCCCCTGTACATCAAATTTTTCCTATTAGCAATAGTCATACCAATCTAACTAACTCCTTTGATAGGAAAATTTTTGAATTGAAATAATATGACTTCCTGTGTAAACTGGAAGTTTGTATACAGTTAATCGGGGCCTTCTAAACCTAGCTTTTCACATCCGGTCTCAACTTTTACCTAACTCTGTTCTTGAGATAAAAGTACAGACATACGACAGTGGGAATTTATAGGTCTACAATTTTTTCTAATTGCAGCCCAAAAAGCTTAATTTTGAGGATAGTGATCAGTTTCATAAAAAAATTGTAAATGTTAATAACACACAACAGCTTCATTATGTCTAACCCCCACTCAAGATATGACAAGAAATGGTATTTTATACACTCCAGCACATCCAGCATTCTCTTGCATTTTTACTCTGTCTTTATCATTCCTTAGTAAGCTGTAGATGTTGGGTGATCTTTTATATACCATTTTTGCATTTTTATAAGTACTCAATTCATTCATCACTCCTCCTATATGCTTATTGTATGTGAATTTGCAAATAGGAGGAGTGATGAATGAATTGAAGATTAATGGCCATAGATTCAAGTAAATTTATACTTAACACAAAGTGAAAATGTTTGTTTTGTGTGACATATATTGTCCAATCTTATCAGTTAAATGGTTGCTATATCTACTTGCTAAATGAAACCTTTTGATATTTTCATTAGGAAAATATTCAAATTCATACATGGTCTAAACATTTATCATCTTTTCCATAACTGTTCGTTAAAGCTTTTATCTTCATTGATGTTATCACTAGCAGTATAATTTCAATTTGATTCTCACATTTCAACTTGATTTAGTAGTATAATCATTATACTACTAAATCAAATTGATATGTAAGAATTTAATAAGAATAAAACTTGTAACTACTTTGAGTTAAAAAATGTGGTAGAAATTTTTGAAATTACAAATCACCACCACTGCCCATAGGACCAGTTCCCATTGAAATCTGATGCCATTTTCACCATCCTTTTCCATCCCCTCTGTCAAAGATAATGAACCAGCTCCTGATTATTTTATTATTCTTGCACGATTCTTTCACATTATTCATTCATTCCCTCTATATATATATATGTATGTGAGAACCAAGAGGGTAGAGCGTCAAGCTTCTCCCTGCTTACCAGCGGCTCAACCAGAGATGGCTTTATAGGAGGGCTAAAATGTGAGTGGGGAGAGATCGCGACAAGGTACCGATTGCACTTAAGGATGACTCATAATTAAATATAAAATAAACATATTTAATTATCTACTTATACAAACAACACAAATCAAAATGGTCCCAATAATTCGTCTAATAAGACTCTACCTAACTACCTAAGAACTAACTCTACTGACTTAATATTGTCAAATCTTAAACTATAATCAAGAGAGTAACAAGGAACAAAAGAGAGAGTATCAAAATGTGGTTAAATGATTAACTCATGGATTCCCACTCTCGTCGTATGGGAGGTTGGTAAAATGCTCTTGGATCAGCGGGTCCCAAATCGTAGTCTCCCCTGGATGGCAGTATGGAGCAACGGGTTGGGTGTCCCTCGATATCTGCTCGGCTATGTCCGATGTGGGTGTATGCTGGCTGTCCGCTATTGATGTGTCCACCCAAAGTGCGAGTGCAACCCCTTTTTATACCCAGCACAGCATGGGAATCGCCAGGGGAAAAATCTGATGCAATTGCCTTTTGCAGCTAGCATTGTTTATGGTAATCAAACAGTTCTTTTGATTTCGTATGTGAGAAAGTGGTCACTTTCTTAAATTAATGGCCACAAGCGGCTAGAGTCAAAACATCACACAATCCTCACATACATGTATTGATATATATTTTAAATGCTTGTTGTATATTTGGTAATAAAATGCTTGTAACACAACACATTTTTCTTGTATACAGTGTTTATGTAAGTCATTACAACAGATTTTATACAAATGGTATTTTTAACCCTTTACTACGACATGGTAAGTTGTACTTTACCCTTCAAAACAATGATCAAAACTGCAGTCACTCAAGGTGACTCTACAAATTTTATTTTAAAAATTCACCAAAAATTGAATTTTTATCATAGAGATAAAAAAAGAAAAAAAAAAATCATACATATTTATATTACTTTATGTAGTTTTCGACACAATAGTGTATAATTGTTCAGTGTAAAAATTATTTACAAAAAAATTTTAAATTATGACCTAAATTTATGTTATAAATTACTTTACTTCGACAAAAAATAAAATTCTTTGATTTCTTTATTTGTTTTTGGCACTAAGCCAGCACGAAAGAGAATATTGTTTTGTACATGAAGTTATAAAATTTATGCTTATTTATTTATTTTTTTGTGAATAATATCACTTGATATGAAACAGTCCATATACAGTCGATCCCCCTATAACACGGTAGATACATTCAGAGTTTTATGAATCCAGCTTTTACAAGTCCAGTCAATCAGTCCGGCATGTATGCAGTTTATGGACTACAGATGTTTGAAAAGTTTCTTCCATAAAATTAATCGATTCTAGACTAATATGACTCAACATTTCCAAAGTACGTATAATTTTTTTTGGGAATAATCCATATAAACTATGCTATAAACAAAAAATTGTAGGATTACTTACCAAGTGTGCACCGTTCGACTACGCCGTTGCTTAAGCTTGTTTTCACCATGGAGATTGTCATCGAATGGCGCTCGCATGCTTCCTGAGTAAATTACTTTTTTGCGAAAAATTCGCTGAACTTGACACATCATTAATATAAATATAATTTTTATGGACGTTAAATAATAAATGGCTTTTAGTAGGTCCGCTGCTCGTTTAAACTCAACGGTTTGTGCAATCCTGTTGCGACACGAGTCAGCAATGACGTTTTACCGAATTACAGGAGTTTTTTTAGCATGTTTGTACAAATACTGTCGCAATTTTTTCGCCGTGATATAGGAATCCGAACTATAGGAACCCATGTTATAGGGGGTCTACTGTATATACCAGTTTTCTGTCTCTATCGATAAACTCTCTTAAGTTAGTAGGAGATTTCATTTTAGGCAATAGGTAACTTTAGGCAGTAAGCAGAAAATACCAAAACTATAGAACAATAAAATATACTAAACAAAGAAAATCAATTAGTAAATATGTTTTATTTATTTGTTTGAGAAAATAAATAAAATAAAACAAGAACAAAAATAAGAAAAATTAAAAATAACTATATATATATATATATATATATATTTAGTTATTATTATTTATTATTTTATATATAAAACACTTACAGGTAGTGAGCAGCAATAAAATATCACCAAATGCAGGTAAAATGATGCAGAGAATTTTTGATTAAAATTAAAATTTTTTCAAAATGACAATATTTTGTCACTTTGTTTCAGCTGAAATTGAACTGTTGATATATCATTGTAAAAGGATTAAACTTTTAACTTGTTACTGATAGGTAACTTTATGCAATCAAAATAGCTTATGACTAACTAGTAGCCCAGGACGTCCCCTAGTGGGTGTTCTTTACAAATTTCCATGAGGCATGGTTCCTGTGACTTTTTTTTTGTTTTTATCAATATGCTCTACAGCTCCGTTAAAGTCCCAATGGTAAGATTTACCCTCCAAATGAAGGGATGGCGACCCCCCAAACTGTAGCCCCCCCTGTGAGAACAATAAAGTCAAAGGAACCATACCCCTATGCGTGATTCTTTGCGAGACATAAGCCCCTGAAAATTCGCCTACATCATTTTTGGTCATGTGAAACCATGGTCAAAAGGAAACCTACCACGTGAAAAAAATTAATGCGCACTCACGCACACTCAGGTCACCAACCTGCTCATTCACAGGGTAAATTGTGACAAATATGCGGTCACGTGACCCGTAGAATAATTTTCGGAAAGCTATATCTTGGGAAGGGTTGCAAGAAGGGGTATGGTTCATTAGACATTTATTGTTCGTACTGAGGGGGTCGCCACCCCTTCATTCAGAGGGTGAATCTTACCGTCCCAATCGCGTCATACTAATCTATATTTCTACCTATTAAACATTCTATAAATACTTTAAAATAGTTTAATTTCTTTATTTACCTCCGCTTGTAAACCTCGATTTTAAATGTATCTGCCATTTTTTCAACAAATTTCCCGTGAGTCAATGCGCGATGTTCACGCAAGGTTAATAAAGGCATATAAGGCAAGGCAAGGCATATAATAATTATTTATACCATTCCATGGTATAAATAATGAATTCATATCAATAATAAATTCCTATTACAAATAAAAATAATTTATTGTTAATTTAAAATCTTCACTAGGGCACCTCTAGTGCCTGTTTTTGGCATACCGTTACGTGGATACCTGTTCAATGTGTTTTTGGATATCTGTTCAATGGGTTATACATATATAGAAGATAGCTTGTAATATTTAAAGTTTAACAATTACACAGTTAGATCAAAGTTAAAGTTTATAGTAGTAGTAATAATATATCAAGACCCTATTTTATTCAATAGGGTCCTGACCTACAACATTTATTCATTATACAGATTAAAGCTACATTTATTCAAAGAGTGAACATTTTGTTAAAAGAAAACATTCAAAATTTTGATTTACATTTTAAGTTTCTTATATACACACTTATATTACCAATTCTACAAACATAAAAAATCTTCTAATTTTTTTCAAAAATAAAATCAATGCTTGAACCATATTCTTTTTCACTTCACAAAATATGACAGCTCACTTGTAACTGTTGTCAATTATTTCATAAAATTGCAAAACTCAGAAAATCATAGACTTTATTTGTGATATTAATTCATTCAGAAATGTAGAGCTTTTATTTTATAAATTTTGAAATAAATAAAAATACAATAAAATATTTTAATCACACTTAAAACGAAAAATTCATCAATAAAAATGTCACAGTACAATTAGAATAAGAACTAAAATAAGGAATCAAAATTCTAAAAATTAATGAAAAAAATAATAACAACAACAATTTAAAATAGATAGCAAAAGTAAACAACATTTACTTTTGTGAAATACGTTTTATTTGATATTTATTACAGTAATCAGTATAAATTGAAGTAACAAACTACTTTTAGGAGACCAACCAGTTCAGGTCTATTCAAACAAAGCTGCAGTTAGGGTGAAACTCCTGAAGATGAGCTTGACTGATTCAAAAGTACTTGGTCATTAGATGATAAAAGTTTTTTCAGGTTGATCTCTAAGAAGTAGTTTGTTAATTTTAACTTATAAAGTTGATATGGAGATTGATTAAACATTGAATCAATATAATTTTTTATTTTAAATTCATTGAAGAAATTAGTATTTTTGGATCTGTTAGTGAATATATCATATTAAAATCAAATGATTTATGTTTGATTAATAATATATTAATAAAAAATATTGCATTAGATAATAATAATTAATTCCTAGCTATTTATTAAATCAGTGTATATATTATTAAATCAGAATACTTGGCTAGAAAATTTTATCAATTAAATTATAATTGATGCATCTTTAAAATTTAAATTCTTTAAAATTGTGATTTATGTTAAAATTTTAAAATTGTATTGACAACTTACAAGAGTTGCTCCTAAATTCTCAATCACTGGTATTTTATATCCTGTAAAAAACAATTCTGACTTCAATTAAAAATATTCAATTCTTAATCAATTAAATTAAAGAAATTAAACAAAATTTGAATTAAAACACTTAAAATTTTATAAAACAAACTACTCACCACACCTCAATAATAATCACATACACAGAACCAATTTACAGTGTGGTACGACGAAAAATAACAAAAAACAAACGTTTTATAACCCCTTCTGGGCTATTCATCAAATTCCGACAGTTTTAGCTCATAAATTCGAATAATGAATGTCATTCAAATAAGTTCGATCTTGAGTTCGAATCATTCTTTTAAAATTATACAATGCGCATGCGTGCCGAGTCTGCCTACTCGGATATAACGGGCGGCTAAATCGTGTTGGGAATCAACTCTTGCCAGGCCATCGACAGAAGCATCTTCTCTTTAAAATTTATGCACATAGTTTCGATAGAGGCTTTACAGATGTGCATCGCCTCTAACCGTTTGAGATGATCATTGGGAGGTGTGCCTAGGAGGAGATTGGCCCGAGTAAAGTCGGCAACTATTTCTGGGTCTGTTACGTACGTTGCAAGGGCCATGTTGGTTCTCCCTTGACAAATATTGGCCTGATGTTCTTGCACTCTGATGACCACGGACCTTTTAGTAGAGCCTATATATACTGAATCCCTATTGAATCTGTTGTCTCTCAAAGGGACACTATAGACTCCGGGTCTTCNATTCAGAAATGTAGAGCTTTTATTTTATAAATTTTGAAATAAATAAAAATACAATAAAATATTTTAATCACACTTAAAACAAAAAATTCATCAATAAAAATGTCACAGTACAATTAGAATAAGAACTAAAATAAGGAATCAAAATTCTAAAAATTAATGAAAAAAATAACAACAACAACAATTTAAAATAGATAGCAAAAGTAAATAACATTTACTTTTGTGAAATACGTTTTATTTGATATTTATTACAGTAATCAGTATAAATTGAAGTAACAAACTACTTTTAGGAGACCAACCAGTTCAGGTCTATTCAAACAAAGCTGCAGTTAGGGTGAAACTCCTGAAGATGAGCTTGACTGATTCAAAAGTACTTGGTCATTAGATGATAAAAGTTTTTTCAGGTTGATCTCTAAGAAGTAGTTTGTTAATTTTAACTTATAAAGTTGATATGGAGATTGATTAAACATTGAATCAATATAATTTTTTATTTTAAATTCATTGAAGAAATTAGTATTTTTGGATCTGTTAGTGAATATATCATATTAAAATCAAATGATTTATCTTTGATTAATAATATATTAATAAAAAATATTGCATTAGATAATAATAATTAATTCCTAGCTATTTATTAAATCAGTGTATATATTATTAAATCAGAATACTTGGCTAGAAAATTTTATCAATTAAATTATAATTGATGTATCTTTAAAATTTAAATTCTTTAAAATTGTGATTTATGTTAAAATTTTAAAATTGTATTGACAACTTACAAGAGTTGCTCCTAAATTCTCAATCACTGGTATTTTATATCCTGTAAAAAACAATTCTGACTTCAATTAAAAATATTCAATTCTTAATCAATTAAATTAAAGAAATTAAACAAAATTTGAATTAAAACACTTAAAATTTTATAAAACAAACTACTCACCACACCTCAATAATAATCACATACACAGAACCAATTTACAGTGTGGTACGACGAAAAATAACAAAAAACAAACGTTTTATAACCCCTTCTGGGCTATTCATCAAATTCCGACAGTTTTAGCTCATAAATTCGAATAATGAATGTCATTCAAATAAGTTCGATCTTGAGTTCGAATCATTCTTTTAAAATTATACAATGCGCATGCGTGCCGAGTCTGCCTACTCGGATATAACGGGCGGCTAAATCGTGTTGGGAATCAACTCTTGCCAGGCCATCGACAGAAGCATCTTCTCTTTAAAATTTATGCACATAGTTTCGATAGAGGCTTTACAGATGTGCATCGCCTCTAACCGTTTGAGATGATCATTGGGAGGTGTGCCTAGGAGGAGATTGGCCCGAGTAAAGTCGGCAACTATTTCTGGGTCTGTTACGTACGTTGCAAGGGCCATGTTGGTTCTCCCTTGACAAATATTGGCCTGATGTTCTTGCACTCTGATGACCACGGACCTTTTAGTAGAGCCTATATATACTGAATCCCTATTGAATCTGTTGTCTCTCAAAGGGACACTATAGACTCCGGGTCTTCTGCTGGGTTTAGGAGGGTCCTTCCCATTATTTAAGATGTTAAAAATGGTGGGACACTTCCTGTACGCAATACTTATTTGGCGCTTCCTGGCGATCTTAGCATATATAGATCTTAGGTATGGGTTATAGGTGACGGGGATCCGTTCTATGTCTTCCAGTTGGTTATTGTAAACATTTGTTTTTTGTTATTTTTCGTCGTACCACACCATAAATTGGTTCTGTGTATGTGATTATTAAAATTTTATATTAAAAAGTTTTTATAGTCTTTCCTTATCAAAGGAATGCCATTAACTGTACAAATCAAGTATTCAATATTCTATCACATTTACAGACTATAACAAAAATCTTCTACAGTGGAACCTTGCTTAACAAGCACCTTGCTTAATGAGAAAAACAAATTGTGAAAAAATGATTCGCTTAACAAACAATGAGGAGAGGGGACGTCCCAGATTGTGTGTATGCTCCATCAGTCTGTGTTTAGCACTAGCATCTTAGGATCAAATTATAAACTTTGATGTCAAAAACTATGCCTAAATCACTAATAGAAGTTATGTAATTAATTGGATTAGAATCGATATATTATAAATATTCTAGGAAGGCAAGATGAATACCATACCAATAATGATAAAAATGGTTTTAATGCTTTTTTATTTTATTTTTTGTAGTCTAACATGAAAAGAATTGTCTTTTTCATTCTAAGTGTTTTAAGTTTAAGTTAAGCTAAGTTTAAGCTAAGTGTAAGTTTTCAAAAAACATTTCTATGTTTCTGTAAAAGATTATAAAAAAGCTCTAAAACTTTATACAAGAAAAGGAAATATTCATTCATATGTATGAATATTATAAAAAAAATTTAATATATTAAATACAATTCTACAGAGAACTATTCAGATACAGTAAAGCGTCGTTTATCCGAAAGCTGGTTATCCGAAACGTCCGTTATCCGAAAGCATTCCAGTTGGCAAATTTAAATTTTCGCTAGTGCTGTGGGGCGCTGCAATCTTCAGCTATTTCTCGGGCTACTCAAATATTTTACGTTTTTGATACTAAATTAACATCTGAAGTATAATTTTTTATTGTTTTTATATTTTTCAATAAATTTATTTTGTTTGTACAAAATAAAAAAATAATTTTTAACGATACAATAGTCTTCGTTAGGCTTAACATAGACGAAAATTCAACGCAAAGCGACACGAAACGGAGAGAAATTTCAACATGGGATAAATTAATATATTTTTTCGTACATGATTCGTTATCCGAACCACCCCAGTCCCCAATTGATTCAGATAAACGACACTCTACTGTAATACTTCTGTCAATTCAGAGAACTCCCAAAAGATAGAGAGGGAAAATGATTATCCCTTCAAAGGACAAAAAAAAACATACAGAAATAAACATCAGGTGAAAAATAAAGACTGTTTTTTCTGATAAGTTTTCTTAAATTTGCTGATCCAAGTCGTTGGTATAATAAGTCCTAATAATAAAATAAGTCTGAGTAGACATCTTAAATACTAAACTATATGATAAGAACACAGAAGCATATGATTTAATATAGAAATAAAATCAAAATATTCTTCAACTCTAATATCCTTCATCTTTGATTCTGATGGAACAAAGCAAACAAATGGATACATTGAAAAAGCATCATATCATCATTTTTAGTCAAATCATACATCAAGTTCTTTAAACTCTTTAGGTTGTCTACTGGATTAAGACTTTTCATTCTTCTTAAGAAATATATAGTCATGGAAACATCCCAAAAGCTGGAACTTTAAATAATAACTAATATATGCTTACCATACAATTCCAGCACAATGAGTATTCAATTACAAATGTTTTTTGGCTTCATTCAGAGCCCTCTTCATGTGAAACAACAAAAGTTATAGTTTAACTGAGCCTCCAGACATTGTAAAGTTATTTAAATATCCTGTTCTATATACCCCTCTATAAGGCTTGAACCATGCTTTTGTGTACTAAGAGATGCTCTTTTGTATTTGCATTTTTCACCAGATTTTTCACCAGACTCGCCCTCTGATGTTTAAAAACAAAACAATTCTATTTGGGTCGTTTGATTCATTCTTGTATATTATCAGCAGTAAAGATGAATAGCGATAGAAAAAGCAAAGCTTTCTGTTGTGTTCAAAATTGCAATTTCAAAGCCTTACGGGAGCCTGATATAAGTTTTCGTCTATTCCCACACAAAAACAGATGATTATTTGAAAATCGGTCGGTTATATTTATGAGTTTCTCCGAATTCTGAAAGTGGATTAGACTGTTAAGAATTGGCAGTTTCCCGATTGTCCAGCTTTACACGAACAAGTTATGCTGTCAATTTTAAAACATATTTTCTCAAAGTTTAAAATGCCAGTAATTTTGTGTGGGACACAGGGTTGGATTTAGCATTTTGAAGCCCTAAGCTGAACTCTGTAAGGCCCCTTACCAACCCTTCACAATTTTAGAAATCAATCATAAAAAGAAAAGAATTAAATCAGACTATGACTCTGATTTAATACAGATATTGGAAGAAAAAGATGTGAGGTTTCACTAGTCTTCTGTTTATAATTGAATTTAATTACATTTTTATACCCATTCCATTAAAAACCTTTTTTAAAATTGGTTTAATCAATTATTTTTAAAAAAGATCTTATGTTATTTCTTAGGAAGAAAATCGATGAAATACTACACAAAATAAAAAGTAAAGTATATTTTGTTGGTTTGTAAAAAAATGTTTATTACAAAATTTGACTTCAATTTTCTTTTTTGTACAAATGTTTGAAGCCCTAAGCAACAACTTACATAGTTTTTACTTGTAAATCCAGCCCTGATGGGACAATGTCAAAGCTGATGTTTTTTAACACAAAGGGCACAAATATGTATAGAACAATCTCACTCATTTGTTTTAATACCACATAATGACGTGTCCTGCTAACAATAATTGTTCTATAAAATTTCTTGATAAACAGCTACAAGCAGCATATATCATTACATTGGACAGTGATATACGATTAATTTTACATTACTAGTTACAAGCGATCCAGATAAAGTAGCCATTTTGTAAAAATATAGCACCCTCTATAGTTCATGAAAAATGCAAATAGCATACAGGAGGTAAATAGGCATAACCAACAGCTTTTAAACCATGCACACATACTCTGTTATTCACCATTCTTTAATTTTAATGACATACATATGTGCAAAAATGAGTTCCATAGGGAGCCCCATATCCGGGACATTTATGAACTTGATATTTGAACAATTGAACAAAGGTCCTTGACAAGTTCCTGACACAATTGTATATATGAATGATATTGTTGGGACTTTAACAGAACTGTTGAGCTGCCTGTAGGAACAAAAGTCAAAGGAACCATACCTCTACAATATATAGCCCCCCAAAATCAGCCTGGCATTGGATCAGTCCAGTAACACAAATGTCCATTTTGTGGATCTTGATTTAAAACTTGCAGAAAAACATAGTACACAATGCATGATCACAAAAATCTTCCATAAGCCCACACATCAATCTGTTCTTATTCCAGCTAACTCCTGTGATACATGGAGATATAAAACTGTTGCCTTCAATGCTCTCAATTGCAAAATAGACAAATGGAATTAAGGAAATTGCTGTAAAACATGGATACAAGACTAGCCCGATTTCTAAATTATCTCAAGCTTTAAAAGAAAAAATTCTGCAGCAGCCAGATAGTAAAGGTTCTAGACAAGCCTATATTCTATTACATTACAAACCTAAGCTCCATAACCTCTACACAAGGATAGCTACAAACAAATGCGAAGTCACCTATACACTGTGTCAAACAGTCTTTAAACTATTAACTAACAGGAAAGATAAAATAAACATACAAAGAGCACATAGAATATACAAAATACCATTAGTGAATACTAGATTTAACCACACCTGTAAGTTAGTATTTAAAATGTCTACTCGGACTTATTTTATTAACAGGATGTATTATACCAACATCTTTGTCAGCAAAAGTTAAGAAAGTCTATCAGAAAAAACAGTCTTTGTTTTTACACTTTATACATGATATAGTGTTTCAGACTAATTCGTCCCTTATAGGTAAGTCTACATTCAATATTTTAGTTTTTCAATTTTTAAACACTCCGAAAATCAGAATTACAAACAGAACTATTTTTATTGTATTTCTTAAGATACATATGGTATTTCAACTTTCACTTGAACTATACAAAGACATCGGTATAATACATCCTGTTAATAAAATAAGTCTCTGAGCAGACATTTTAAATACAATACTATAAGATAAGGATACAGAGGTATACGA